ATCAAGGTCAAGGTCAAATGGTCAAAATTAATGGTGCCCAAGGGAGGGTCTTATCACAAGAAATACACAGGTGAAATGTGAAAGCCGAAGCACCAAGCGTTCAAAAGTTATGACCAAGGTTAAAGTTTGCCAAAAGTAGGTCAAACTCCAAGGTCAAAAGGTCAAATATGGTGGTACCTAGAGAAAGGTCTTTTCACAAGGAATACACATGTGAAATATGAAAGCCATAGCTCCAACCAATCAAAAGTTATGGGCAAGGTTAAACTTTTTGCGGACAAACAGACAGACAGATAGCAGGGACCCAAAGTAAGGTCTTGTCTCGAGGAAAATACCTGTGAAATATGACAGCCCTGGCAGCAACCATTAAATAGATATGGAAAAGGTTAAAGTTATTCAAAAGTAAGTCAAACATCAAGGTCAAGGTCAAATGGTAAAAAATAATGGTGCCTAAGGAAATGCCTTCTCACAAGAAATATACTGGTGAAATATGAAAGCTGAAGCACCAACCGTTAAAAGTTATGATCAAGGTTTAAGTTTCCAAAAGTAGGTCGAACTCCAAGGTCAAGGTCAATGGATTACAATTCTTGGTATCCAAAGGAAGATCTTGTCACAAGGATTACATATGTGAAGTATGAAATCCCTAGCACCAACGGTTCACAGGTTTTGGCACAAGGTTTAAGTTTTCCAAAAGTAGGTCAAACTCCAAGGTCAAAGTGTCAAAGTTGTTGGTATCCAAAGGAAGGTCTTGTCACAAGGATTACATATGTGAAATATGAAAGCCTCAGCTCGAACGGTTCACAAGTTATGGCCAAGGTTAAAGTTTTTCAAAAGAAGGTCAAACTCCAAAGTCAAAGGGTCAAAGTTGTTGGTATCCAAAGGAAGGTCTTGTCACAAGGATTACATATGTGAAGTATGAAAGCCCTAGCACAAATTGTTCAAAAGTTATGGCCAAGGTTAAAGTTTTTCAAAAGTAGGTCAAGCTCCAAGGTAAAGGTCAAAGGGTCAAAGTTGTTAGTATCCAAGGGAAGGTTTTGTCACAGGGATTACACATGTGAAGTATGAAAGCCCTAGCTCCATCTGTTCAAAAGTTATGGCCAAGGTTAAAGTTGGGTAAAATTTTGTTAAACTAGGTCAAACTCCAAGGTCAAAAGGTCAAATATGGTGGTACCCAAAGAAAGGTCTTGTCACAAGGAATACACATGTGAAGTATGAAAGCCCTAGCTCCATCTGTTCAAAAGTTATGGCCAAGGTTAAAGTTGGGTAAAATTTTGTTAAACTAGGTCAAACTCCAAGGTCAAGGTCAAATATGGTGGTACCCAAAGAAATGTCTTGACACAAGGAATACACATGTGAAATATGAAAGCCATAGCTCCAACCAATCAAAAGTTATGGGCAATGTTAAAGTTTTTGCGGACAAACAGACAGACAGACGGATGGACAGGGCAAAAACTATATGCCCCCGAATCTTCGATACGGGGCATAAAAAATATTAATCGAGAAAAATTCCTTAAAAAATGCATAAATTTTTAAAAAATACACCTAATTAATTGCGTACATTTAGTGAAAGCCATCATTGCAGAAACAATATATGTATGTCAATGAAGGGCAAGCTGGACTTCGATAGCCTCTGGAAAGTTGTTTTCCCTGTTTATTTTGTCCAAATGTTAAGATTTGAAACCGAAAGTACATTGCAAATGGCGGATTTTATAGGGGTCTTGTCTTTATACGTGTCATGCTTTCAATAACAGCCTTTCAGAGACCATTCACGTCCAACTTGCCCTTCATTGATAAACATATATTATTTCTCCAATGATGGTTTTCACTAAAAGTACAGAATTAAGCAGGTGCATTTATTAAAAAAAATATGCAATTTTTTGAATTTTTTTCTCTCAAAAAATATATTTTTTGAAATATTTGTTTTCAAGTGATACTTTCTATCTGTTAATCAATGATATATTTATACACTGTAAAAGTTTTAACTTTATACCTCACATAGTTTTGGAGCTATTGTAAAAATTTTTGGACATCTTGACCTTTGGCAAAACCTTAAGCATGGTTAACGAATGTAAAATATAGTTTACAAATGAGAATCAGTATTTATCAGGAAAATCAATTGTTAACGTTAATTTACAGACAGATTAACTTATATCATAGCATTCGTAAACTACATTTTACAACCGTTAAATGTAGTTTTACAGATGAAAGCTATCAGTTAACGAATCGTTGAAGATAGTTTACAGTTCGTAAACTATAGTTTACAATCGATAAACTTTGTTTAGCAACTGTTAACTATGTTTATCTAATTCTTGTGAATTTGGCGTGCCGTAGGTATGAATTCTTTGATGTGTTTACTCTCAGATAAAATTCTGCTACAAACTGTCCAAAAAATGTATTTTAGGAGCACATATACCAGATGAATATTTTCTGTTAATATCTTTTAGGAGAGAGTGAGTTTTAGTTGTGATTGTGCCTTGTTATTTTCATAAGTATTTAATACTTAATTTTTGTGAACAGATGGTAGAATTTGAATTTTGTACATTAGTCTTTTCAAAAACCCAGACGATTTTTAGTACATGTCCCACCAAATACCCAGACGTAAATAGCGATAAATGTAATTGAAATAAACAAGTTATACTTGCTGACCTTCAAAGTCAAAAATTGTTTTTAAGGTTCTTCAATAATCATCTCACTACTTTAAAAAATATGAAATTTAAAGATGAAGTAGCAATCTTCATTGAAACCAAATCTGATATTCTGTCTTTGTGTATTTAGTCAGTTATAAGTGATATACATTCAAAATTGTTGTATAAGTGTATATTTTCTCCAGATAGAATCATTTTATTTGCATCCTATTATCTTCGTTTATAGCCTAAGACCAAGAGACGTTTTGCTTTGTATCTCTCTGCCCTAAAACAGAAAGAGACCCAAGGGCCTAAACGGTAATTTGAGCATAATACAACACTATTATGGATCCACAAAAGTGAAAAATAAAACAAAATAAACTGACAGATGAAGCTTTGTTGTCTAATAGCAAGAGAAATAGGATGACTAGGGATCAACAAAATAATAAGTTCTAGAACTCAGTGACAAATCTTAAAGTAATTATATTTACTGGCCTGACTTGCCCATATTTGTAACATCTTCATGCAGACTAAACAAAACAATAGTGCTTGAGCTAGCAGCAAGCCCATCTCATTCTCTTTTACAATGGCCTCTCTCGGTCTTTGAAGAACATTCGATGTTTAAAAATAAGATATTTTGTATAATTTTTATTTATTATTTACAAGATTATCCTATCATTAAAACTGTGAAAATTCTTATTGTATTATATATTATTCTTCTTATTTATTTCTTCTATCCAGTTGAACTTTCAGTTGCATTATTTACAGTGATTAATTAGGTGAATAGAAAATGGGAATAACTTCTCTCTGTAGAATACAAGACAAAGCCATGTCCAGCAGCAGAACACTTGATCAAGTGGTCAAGAATCTGATAAAATACCCTTGCTTATTACAACTTTTTTCTCTGGTTGCCCCCTAGATGCCCAGGAGCAGAGAAGTCTAAGATGTTCAAAAAAATAATGCAATTTCACTACAGATTCAACACAGTTCCATCCTTACAACAGAATCCTTGACCCATGGGTCATGAAATTCATAATTTTGGAAAAAGGCACACTTGCTTATCATAACTATGAATTTGTTTATCTGCTGATACCCAGGAGCAGAGGATAAGATTTAAAAAAAAAAATGATGCATTTTCACTATATCATCAATAGAACCCTGCCCTGACACCAGAACCCCTAATCCAGGGACCATGAATATTCACAATTTTAGAAGAGGCACCCTTGTTCATCATAACTATGCATTTAGTTTATCTGCTTAATACCCAGGAACAGAGAAAAAGATTTTCAGAAATATCATGCATTTTCACTATATAATCAATAGAGCCCTCCACTCAAAAACCCCAGACCCTGGAGCCACAATTTTTTCTTTCAATTTTGGGAGAAATACCCTTGCTTATTACAATTATGCACTCCGATTATAATACACAGGAGCAGAGAAGATGTTTTTCAAAGATTTGATGCATTTTCACTATATGTCATTAGAGCCCCGTCCTAGCTCTAGAACCACTCTAGAACCCTCGGTAGAGAGCTCAATGCTTACTATAATTATGCTAACAGTTTGACTGCTTGATGTTCAGGAATAAAGAAGACCATTTTTGAAACTAGCACTAATTTTGATGGTTTTAGCCCCACCCCACAGGTTCAAAGGGCAGGGCCCATGAAATTCACAATTTCTGTTTCCCTTTATTCATATATGCTTTATGCCAAAATTGGTTGAAATTGGTTTAGTGGTTTAAGAGAAGAATCTGAATTTGTTCAATAGGTCATCTGAGTGACTCAGGTGACCTAAAACAGGTCTAAATATTTTTTTTTTCTGCTGGTGACGATCTCGATAGTATTTATTATGTAACGTAAAAGATTCATAATGGGGTGTCAACTCAAAAGTAGGTCATTCCTTGTCAAATCATTTTACCTAATATATCTTGCAAAGTAAGAGCTATAGAATCATTTAACATTGTCAGTTGATGGATCTTGGGGTCTCAAGGTGTGACAACCTTTAAAGAGCGTCAATATGACCCTGTTTGGAATTTCATTACCAGATACACGTACTAGTATATGCACATGTATAGTCCATTTGTGTTAGATGCACACTATCTTGTGCTTTCTTTCACTAATTAAGTGATGTCAGTTGATGTACTCTTGAATAAAGATCTGTGCAACCCAAAGGAAGGTTCACCTTGTAATTTTTTTGATCAGTCCAATATAATAATATATGCTGCTCATCTTACACACTTTACGGTTTAGAATCAATAGACATCCGTTACTAGACCTTGTAGCCTATCCGTACTTTGATTTCTTGCCTGGTATGGCATTTTCCTGATTCCTGTGCCTCTTGTAAAAAATAAAACATCATTTTCTGAAATAAAGTAGTATGATTTTGATTGTACTGGCCTAATTTTTATGTCAACTGATCAATATGTATAACAAATAATACAATAAATAAAAATGTTTAAATTATAAGAAATACATGTAATGTATCATTTTTGTCAGCTTCCTGAGTTAGGATAATTTTGACAACATATCAGGTTTGAGATTGTTGTAGATTTCTCCACATTTCTGACAATTTGGATGATAACGCCGAATGCACTCGATTACGTCAACTCGTCGTGACGACTCAAGGTTGAAATAAGAAGTCACATCATAAATAGTGCATCCGTGGGAACTCAGCAAGGGCAAGACGCCCTCCTTGAAATGGTCTTTTGTTTTGTGTCTGAAACATGAGCATGACAGAATGCATAACACTGAAAAATTCCTTTCTGTAAAATTGCAATATATACACCTACTTTGGACTTACCTTATTTCAAGGATTTTATTATAAGGAAGATCGAACAATTTCTGAGCTAGTCCTTGCCAGGTGCAAATATTTTTGTACTGTTTATCTGGATCGAGTAAGGTTGAAAGATCATCTACAAATTGTACACTGTTTTCCAAAGCACCGTCCAGCATTGCAGCAACTGTTGGGCAGGGATCTAAATCGAAATTTATAAACGTATATAAAACACTCTTGAATTATATACTTGCATATAAGGAATCTTCGATTTAATAAAAATTAAAAAAAAATAAAGATCTTTACCAATACCATTCCACTGTAAATTTTCTAACAGAAGACGAGATACATTGTCAGAAAAATAATGAGAGAAGCATATATTATTAACTTCAGTGTGAAATATTCATACATATACCCGGTTTGATAACACTGGCTTTTTGTGAAGGGCACTTTAAGTATGCAACATTCTCTTTCGTGATTCCAAGATATTCACATTTGAGTGAATCTATCTCTAGAGGTATGGAGATGTCATTAGAAGTTGAGAATGATGAAGGGGGTGGCAAGTCTTCAGAATCCTCCCGCCATTCGTTCTGTGGATATGAGGTATTAGTCCCGCCGTTGTAATTACAGAAGTCACTGAATCGACTGCTGGTTTCAGAGTTCATTGTTTGCAAAAGGTCATTGTTGGAAGAATCACTCATTCTATGTGACTCTTGTGAGGTATTTGAATCCAGATCCTTTCGACCTGAGGCATCTTTTTGCTGTTGGACATCATGAGTTCTGTTTGCTATTTGATTTTTTACCGGACACTTTTGACTTCTAGGTTTTTTCTCGCATCCCAGAACAGAGGGTGATTCCGTATCATTAAAATTATTGTCTGTATCTGAAGAGTTGCATAATTTTTTCTTCAGATTAGCGCATTTTATGTTCAAACGTCTTTTTGTAATGAAGAGAACGAGAAAGAAAATTAAAAGGAGGCACGCCATTATTGGCATTATTATTGCCAGGGGCAAATTCGTCGAGGGTGGATCAAAGTTCTTATCACTCAACGCTACAATAAATATGAAAAATATGCATTGTCAAAACGGTATTCTTATGTAATAAGTAAATATTAGAATTGTATGGTAAGAAAGGCATACCATCTGAAGAACAGACACCAGATAAATTGTTGTCCCACTTTAGTTTTTCAGTGCATCTGACTTTGATGTTAGTAGTACCATTCAAACATTGAAACAGACAAGACACGTACACTGGCACTGAAGATAGCGATACCCCTTTAGGACACACCCACTCGCCGGTACCAGATGTCACATTTGGTAAGGGACCACAACCTTTTGTTGACAACAAAACTTTTATACATACACAATATTTTTTTATTTGCTAGTTTATTTGGAAGATGATATTTCCTAAAATTCTTATAAGATTGATCTTTGTAGTACCTTTTTTACCATCCTTTTCTAGAAAGCTTTTTCGAATCAAATTTGTTTGTCATGTGTTTGGTGTCTATTGTCATTAAAATGTTACATTTTTGACTTTTCTTAAGAACCACTCAGTCAACTTTTACTTTTTAAGAACATGATAACAGTGAGTCATTTAGTTACCTAAACATCACAGTCTATGTATGTTCAAGTAAAAAAAAAAAAATCTTCTCAAGAAGCAAAAAGAGGCAATTTATAAATTTAGTAAACAAATATCCCCAATCCCTGAATGAAGATTAACATTTGCTCACTCATGCATATCCCCCGGGGCAAGGGTGTGCAAATGTAGGAGAATGATTTTTTTCTTGGCAATACATGTATGTACATGGGAACATTTTTTAGAGAGCTTCTTAAACTTTAAAAACAAACTGGACACATTAACATATAAACATTATCATGTAATGTAGAAAAAGTCTGTAAAAAATCTTCTAAAGAAGAGCATGCCAAGACCACAATTGTTATGTTGATATCTCAACACCCAGATGATGTGTAGAATTTAAAAAATAAAAAAGGTCCCTGGGCCTAGGATAGAGTCGCAATAAGTCAAAGTTGGACGCATGCAAAATAGGGAAATACGTGTAACTTTAAAAATTAGTATACTATATGTAACATCCCATGTTGTGAAGATTCAAGTTCTATTTTTAACATCTCACAGACCATGAAGGTAGCGTACGGATATAATATGAAATCAAAGTTTTACATTTCGGAAAAGAATCAATAAAATGTAATGGAGAAACATAGAGCTTTTGTGAGTCTTTTTGATAAGCCACAATCCATATATACTGTTGAAACACAAATTTTTGTGGATAAAATTTCGTTGATTGTCATCTTAAAAGGTTTCATGGGCATAAAATTTCGTTGTTTCGAAAGAAACCCTATTCAATATAGAGTCGTGTAAAAATTTCGTGTGGGATTTATCTTCGTTGAAAATATAGAGATTTATAATCCCCCATGAATATTTCTGCTTTTACGGTAGTGATAATTCAACATAACCCCGAAATTAGTATAGTGTCACATTTTGGGTCGAAGTTTTACAAATGGAAACATAAGATTTTTTTTTAAAAATCTGACGAAGAAAAGAAAAGCGACATTAATCATGCTGATATACAATAAATCTATCAACCAAATAGGAAAAATCTTTAATATCTTATCAAGAACAACAAGATAAAGATGTTCAAGTGAGCGTCATGTTTAAATGTTCAATTTAAATAACTAGAGCGAATCAAAGGTCTTTTTTTTTTACAGAAAAAAAAATCAAATCTATAGTGAACTAATTTAATTTAATCAAAAGGAAAATAATCTGTGTACGAGAAAGATAGAATGTGGAAGAGTTTGTTAATTATACCTGGTAATCTTGAATATGCGGAACGATAGTAAAGAAAGATAGAATGTGTTAGTTAAACCTGGTGATCTTAAGTAACTGGAACGATAGTAAAGAAAGATAGAATGTGTTAGTTATACCTGGTGATCATAAGTAGGTGGAACGATAGTAAAGAAAGATAGAATGTGTTAGTTATACCGAGTGATCTTAAGTAACTGGAACGATAGTAAAGAAAGATAGAATGTGTTAGTTTTACCTGGTGATCATAAGTAGGTGGAACGATAGTAAAGAAAGATAGAATGTTTTAGTTATACCGAGTGATCTTAAGTAGGTGGAACGATAGTAAAGAAAGATAGAATGTGTTAGTTATACCGAGTGATCTTAAGTAGCTGGAACGATAGTAAAGAAAGATAGAATGTGTTAGTTATACCTGGTGATCTTAAGTACGTGGAACGATAGTAAAGAAAGATAGAATGTGTTAGTTATACCGAGTGATTTTAAGTAAGTGGAACAAAGAAAAATAGAATGTGGAGGAGTTTGTTAATTATACCTGGTGATCTTAAGTAGGTGGAACGGTATTATAGAAAGATAGAATCTGTTAGTTATACCGGGTGATCTTAAGTAGCTGGAACGATAGTAAAGAAAGAATGTGGAGGAGTTTGTTAATTATACCTGGTGATCTGGTTAAGTTGGCGGAACGGTAGTAAGGAAATTGTCCAGTGTTATTTTCAATATCTGTTAATACATGCTTGTTTTGGTTGTAACATTCTTCAGAAAAAGCAGGAGAATCTATTAAGTTTGGATTGGCGTCGCCATAGTGGCACGAATACTTGTTCCCCGACTCCAGTGTGACATAACTGTAAAAGAAATAATTAATATTGAGTGCTGTGTTTTATAACAATAGAGTATCCGCCATAAAAGGGAATCTCACGGGTGTTACATTTGTCACGCAAACAACAATTAAGACACCAAGCCCGGAAAGTATAAATATGGCAAAGAAAAACTGGAGCAAAGGTCAAGACATTTATACCAGGATCTCGTTTTTATGTTAGAAACAAATACTTACTATCGCCCAGTCTCTCCACCATCTCTATCCACGTAAATATCTTGTTGAGGAAGTGTTCCCTTAAAACAATTGTAATCGTGACAGATTCATAACGTTTATTTATTGAATAAAAAACTGCCCAACAATTTTACTGATTATTTCCTATAAATTATGAAATGTCAAATACAGTCAATTATTTAAAATCAACCAGTCCCTTTATCTCAGTTAATACTGATTATCATCGTTATTTGATAGACAACGGTGAATACTGATTTAACCTTAATCGATCTTTGATGGAACGTAAAAGCCAGTGAAAGCCACCCCAACCCCCAATCCCCGAAAAAAGTACACAAACAAGCAAACAAATATGTAGAAGTTACCCCATATAATACTGTTGGTTATGTGCAGGTACCCGATGGGCGTGGTAATAATGACACGAGGGAGCGTAGCTCCCGAGTTGTCATTATGACCACGTCCATCGGGTATCTACACATAATCAACAGTGTTATATGGGGTAAGTCACTTGTACCATAGTTTACCAAAATTGATCTCTTTTTTTATTGTAGTCATTTATGTAGTGTGAATTTATTTTAATTGACTTACAGGTGTTATTGAGAATTGTGCTTGACTTTAATGAAACAGGTTGTTATGGTTTTAATTTCCCAATTCGTGTATTTTAAAATGACAAAATGAATTAATTCAAACCCTTTTGAACTTAATTTTATTTTTTTATGATCATTTCAAACACTATTTAAGATTTTTTTTTTACATTTACAATAGATATAATTAAAACTCGTTTATTTAAACACGTTTTTGGTTTCCAAGTTTTCTTGGCTTATAATAGATCAATAATGGAATCATTTAAGAGATAATGTCATTAATAAAAAATGTTCTGAGTATTAATTAGGTTATGTCTTCATCGATGAGAATACAAATGCAGTTTAAAAGAATGAAAAAACTTTTTTTTCTGCACTTGTCAACAAGTCAGCGTCTTTATGAAACGTTAAGGTTTTAAATAATAAATAATGATCTTTCAGTGTTTTGTAATTTTCTATTGAACTTGGTACATCTAAAACAGATGACTATTTAATTTAAAAATGTGGCTAGGTTCTGTGTATAGTGTTTTTTTTTTTTTTTTTTTTTTGTCCTGACTTGATGGGCAGAGTTTACAGAAAAGTGTAGGTTATGTACAGATAATCCACACTTTTAACAAAAGAAATCACACCTAAGTATGGCACAAGACAATTACACATTCTAAGAAGGCACCATCTGAACGTACACAGGGAAAAGTGGCTTATATAATATTTATGTGATTATCTTTTTATTTGAAAATTATGCGAAAATCATGTAAAAATTATATAAATATTTTTTCATGCAAATATCTTGTGAATAAGTTTGTATGATATTCACATAATTTTTTTAGAACTTTCATGTGAAGTTTTCTTTGCACGATATTTATATGCGATATGCTCTTCATGTAAAATTCATATGAAAGTTATGTCAATATAGCATGAAGTTTTCATATAAATTTCACATGTCTTGTTTTTCGTCTCTTTCTCATGCAATGAATTCTCATGAAATTCATGTGAATTTCATATAAAATTTATGTAAGCCACTTTTGCCTGTGTATATTTCGTCACCTTATATCTAATTATTAGTAATTAAATTTCACTGTTGAAGCTCGAACCTTAAAAATAAATAAAAGGTAAAATAACACTTTTTGACAATGTGTGCTTTAAAACAATTGATAATGGATAAAATAACGCCAATTAAAAGTGTGTTATTGTAAGCAATCGGTAAAAGGGAAAATAACGAAATATTACAATTTGTGATTGTAAGCAATTGGTAAAATACCACCTTTTAACAAATAGTGATTGTAAACAATTGGTAAAAAGTAAATCAACGCCATTTAACAGTTTGTAAACATAAGTTCCTTACCATCATGTCATGCTGTCACCGGGATGATCATTTATAGACACCGGACGTTCTTCTTCTTATTCCATGTTAACGTGTCATTTTTAAACTATGAAACACCAGCAAAAGTGGAATAGTTTACACGTTGCGTTTCCTTTTCAAATTTTTGTAGTAAATAGATTTGGAAAACTCGCTGATCACAAATTACAACATAGTTTAGAAAGCTCTTCGTCGATATGCTCAGTTCAAGTCATGTCAAACGTTTATGTGCCTAAACAAAAAAAAACTTCGTGTTTTTCCTCTTACCGGAAATTGCAGCTGTTCAGGAAAGATATCTAAACGTGTAATCTAAGAAACAATAAAGGGGGATTTATTGATACCAGAGAAAAACAAGGATATGTTAAACACTTCTACAAGTACTAGTTACCAATGAACGATAGGGAATTTGTTCAGTTTTAATCAAACTATTCCTAGAAAATTTAGAATCTTTCCTCATTCAAAACGAATATCACCCACCTCCACTTTACTGTTACGTATATTTTTATAGGTCAGACAAGTTCGTGTGGAATTCCAGTACATGTAGGTTTGTAGGTTTTCAAAAATGTTGTAGGTCATTTAGTGTTTTATTCTTTCTCCAGGTTCATAAAAATTAAATGAAATATATTTTTTAGGTGAAATCTGTTTCTTTATCAACATATACTTAGCTTTGTTTTAGGAAAGTATAGGCAATACAATGTTCTCCAAGGAATTCACGGGGTGAATGTAAGATTTAATATTAGATATGAATTTTAGTATTAGAAAATTTGTTTTAAAGAGAGTGCATCAAATTCATAACATAGGCTGGGAGCGAGTGATACTTTATTCCAGACATTTGTTGTATTCTAAAAGAGAAACTTTTCTAGACGAATTAAGAAACATCAATTCAAAAACTATATGAAGTGACATTCAACGAACGTCCGTCGTACGGAATACTGTGCTGTATAATCATGATAAATGTATTTTGTGAGTGATATATATGGAGATAACGAACAGTAACCAAGCTCAAAAGTCTATTGAAACAATACAAATATTACAAATCGAGAGCAGAGCAAACACGGACCTCTACAACATTAGAGGTGGGATCAGATGCCATGAAGGAGTGAACATCCCCTGTCGACCGGTCACACCCGCCACGTGCTATTTGTCATGATCGGGAAAACGAAAAAAAAACGTAGAAAATTCAGTAAATAATGGCCTAGTAATTAGTATGAAAAACGTCACTCAGCAATCGATTTAATGATAGATTGTATTTGTTGACAAGGGCATGTATCGACCATAGAACTTGCGAAATGATTACTTTAAATGAGACTTGATATTCTTCTTTCAGCAACTTGTTTGTCAATAGCTTGCCTCGTTTCAGAAATTGTTCGTACGTAGAGCATATGCTAGCGTATCGAATCAAACCCAATATGTAGGTGTTGTTAGGTTACCATTAACGTCCTTTTCTAGTAAAATATCCAAATATGAAATTGAAGTGTCAGAATCCGTGTATCTATTATTTCAAGTTCACTGGGATATATCGAGTCGAGATATGAATGGAAGTACGTGTAACTAGTGTTAATAAGTCTTTGATATATCTAAATGTCAAGTTAAAAACCAAAGCAAGTGTTTTTTTTTCTTTGTTTTTCTTTGCATGTAACGGTTTTGAAAAAATTCTGCTTCATATGAATACAAAAATAGGTCTGCTAATAACGGGGCGCAATCGGTACCCATGGGAATTTCAACAGATTGTTGGAAGACCTGATCTCCAAAAACTACATAAATATTGTCAATCAGAAACTCAAGCATCTTTTTAATATCAACTTCAGAGTATTTGTGTGTACAATCAGAATGCTTTTTAACAAATAATTTTGCAAATGACCAGTGACAAGGTAAGTATATTTACGAGTTCCATTTTTATTGAAAAAGCAGCTGTCTATGATGTCAAAAAGCCTTGACTTCAATTTATCGTGAGGAATGGGTATATAAAGTGTTGAAAAGTCTTACGTTTCGATGTTATTGATTTTAGTAAAATTTTGTGATTTCAAATTTTCTAAAAGTTCCTTGGAGTTTTTAAATATCCACATCTGATTTACACCACTTCTTGAATATACTGTTGTACAGTACTCCTGAAGTTTCTCCTTCATTACAGTAAATATTTTAGTGAGGAGTAAAGAAAAAGGCTTGGTTGAACATTTACTGGAATCTGCTATGTATCTTTGTAAGGATTTTTATGAAGTTTAGGAATCCAGTAAAGGTATGGTAATTCAAATTCATATTGATTATTGGGAATATTAAAAATATCTAAAACGGACATATGATTTTGAAGAATTTCCTCCTTAAAAGGGGAGCTATGGGTGTAAGTTGGATTTCCACCTGCAGAATTAAATCTTAGTTCCTCTAAAATACAATTCAAATAATGAGCCTTACAAAAAAAGACAATGTTGTTACTTGCTTTGTCAGCTGGGACCAGTACATACTGATTGTGTAATCTATATAATCTCTTTTTCACTTCTGAATTATTAAAGATAGAAGGATAGTTTTCATACGGCCTCTCAATCGCTTAATGCGAGATTTTAACATTCATCTGATACTTTTAATTCATTCTGAAAAAGTGTCAAGGTCTTCTTTTCAAATTTGGCCCATCGCATGGCGTATTCTTCCACAGAATTCATAATATTTATGAAATTATGACGCCAGTTGAAAGATCGGAGTTTCCTAAATTTTGGCCCTTTTAAAATAAGTGATTAAAGGTCCTCATTATTAACTATATTTTCGTCACCAGTAATGACGTGTCTAGCAAGATTATAGTTTTAGGGTGAATAAGAACATGAACACTTTGAAGGAATATGTTATTTTCAGATGTTCGATATCTTAGCACTGTAGAGTTTTATTTATTTATTTATTTATTTTTTTGTAATTAAAAAGTTTGGAAGCAGTAGTCGATGTATATTTGTAGAGAATACAAGGTGTGGACTTTAAATTCATGTAATTTAAAGGAAAGTTTCGAGTAGTTTTCAATATCAACTGTAAGGTGTATGTCTATGTTGATATATTTCCTTCTGCATGTTTCATATTGTTGAAACATTTTAGCTCACCTGAGCCGAAGGCTCAAATGTGCTTTTACGATCGTTGTCTGTCGTCGTCTTTGTCGTAAACTTTTCACATTTTCATCTTCTTCTCAAGAACCACTGGGTCAATTTCAACCAAACTTGCAAAAAAGGGGATTTAAGTTCGTTCAAATGAAGGACTATGCCTTCTTCCAAGGGGAGATAATTATGATTTTGAGAAAAATTAATGGCATCATTTAAAAATCCTCTCAAAAACCACTGTGCTTGAAAGTATGAAACTTATGTGAAATCATTGTGAGGTAGTGTAGATTCAAGTTTGTTCAAATCATGACCCCCGGGGGAAGGGTGGGGCCACAATGGGGGATCAAAGATTTGCATAGGAAAAATCTTTAAAAATCTTCACAAGAACAACAAAGGCATTATTGGTCATAATAAAATTAAAGCATCCTCAGGAAATGTAGACTTAAATTTGTACAAATCATGACCCCCAGGAGAATAGAGGGGCCATAACAGGGGATCATAGTTATACAAGGGAATATAAAGGATATATCAATAAAAAATTTAATCTTAAGAACAACAAAACCATTATGTGTCATATTAATTCAAAAGCATCCTTAGGAAGTTTAGATTCAAGCTTGTTCAAATCATGCCCCCCTCCTCAACCATTTTTATATTTAATCTTTTCAATACTGAACTGATTTCTGCTTTTTCCTAGGCAAAGTGCTCAGATGAGCGATGTGGCCCCTGGGCCTCTTGTTTTCGTACTTATTTGATTTTCATTTTTGCTATCAGGAGCTTTCTGACTATCTTTTTTTTATTCGAAAAGTTTTGCAGAAGCAAACCACGATTAATTTTTTGCCCTCTTCATAACAGATGTTATACTGCTGGCATACCAGCTGGTATACATTATCTATAAAAAAAAGTTAAGGTAAAGATTTCAATTGCCCGTTTACATTTTGTTTATTATATATCAAAATGAAGCATTTGTTGCAAGTTTGAAATAGAACAACGCACGAGTGCCTTTGTACAGTCAACGAGTGCCAATATTCACAAAATAACTCCTTTATAATATTTTCCCATTGATTTATATTAAATTTAAATTAACTTAAAATGAATGAGGATTTTTTAGTATAGGTCTATGGAACGCCAAATTAACATATATTCAAATATTTGTACCTATCTTCAAATCTATTATAAATATCTCCAAGTGAATTGAAGATAGGTTTAATTCAATTATTTAAATCATATTTGGATAGGTACAATTGATTTAAAGATAGATACAATTGATACATCTTCAAAAAGGAACATAGTCTTACTTCCCTCTCTTCCACTTTGTTAACACTAACATAATCATTATTGGCCTCTTAAATGGAAAAAAAAATGGGATCAAAGTTTTACTTTGGAATATAAAGAAATATCTTCCTCCGAACACCAAAGCCATAAGTATTCATATTTATACGGAAACTTTCTCAGGTAGTAGAAATTGAGGTTTGCTCAAATCATGACCCCTTGGGGTAGGGTGGACCCTCAACAGGGGATCAAAGTTACTACATTATATATATATGTATTATATAGGAAAAATCTTTTAAAAAATCTACTTCTCAAGAACAGCAAAGTCATGATTAGTAATATTAATGAAGAAGCATCCTCAGGTAGTGTAGATTCAAAGTTGTTCAAATCATGATCCCAAAGGGTGGGGTGGGGCCACAACAGGGGGAACAAAGTTTAAAATAAGATTATATATAGGAAAAATTCTTGGACACGCCCACTCATCTCTGACACCAGTCACATTTGGTAAGGAACCACATCTTATCAAGCAACGGTTCGGTATATTAAATGGAATACAGATTTCTGATATTTCTGCACTTCTTTATTTGCTCATTTTTTACAAAAATCAAATTTAATGACTTTCAGCTCACCTGACTGAAGAGAGCTTTTCTGATCTGTCGTTGTCTTTGTAATTGTCGTTGTAAACTTTTCACATTTTCATCTTCTTCCCATGCCAGTTACAAACAAACTTGCCACAAAGTAATTCAAATGATGGGCCACGTTTTCTTTCAAGGGGAGACAATTAAGAATTAGTAACATTTTTTGGCATCTTTCAA